AGGCCATGCTGCTGTCTAATTTGTTGATTGTTTTTAGCAAGGTCTTAGAAACCTGTGGAACTCTCTTGAAGATGTTCTTAACCCATATGAGGAGTATTACTAGAATTTGGTCTCAAACAGTTAAAATAATAAACTACTCCACCCTCTTCGAACTACTTTCAAGTATGTGAACAAATATACGCCATCTCAGATACAGTGTGTATTAATACTTACCTGACTCATCCCATGTTTTCAGTCAAGATTGGTTCATTATTTCTCAAGCATACTTCTGTATTGCCTTGCATTGATTCTGCAGGACATACCTGCAGTTCCTGGAGAGACCAGTGATTAGAGTCAGTTGATGTCTCCACAGCGCCACAGTATCAAGTATCTTCACAGATTTTTTTTTTTTTATTTATTACTGGTGCTTATGAACACCAGTTGTGAACCAAGACCCTCCTGTTTCAGTGCCAGTAGAACAGAACAAAAAAACCCCTACTCGAGAGTACTTACACACTAAGACAAGAGACAACCAATTGATAGAGGTGGAGAATATTGAAGGTGTAACAAATACAAAGAAATAATGAAAAATAGCCACTAGAATGATAGGTAGTGATTTCAGTTCTCTAATGGACTCTTAATGTTGTCAGGTTTCTTGTAGAATCACCTGTGTTTTAAGGAAGATACTAAAAGAAAAAGTGAGTTGAGTTTTGCAAGCATGTATGGAAATCTTTAGTAAGTGGGGCAACATAAAGAGATCGTGGAGATGTTACTCAGTATCTTCAATTAGGAGAGCCAGCGCGTTTTGAGGAAAAATATGAAAAAAACAATATGGTCATAACTGACATGAATTCACTCTTTATGAGGTTTTAAATATAGCTCCCATGGTATGTCAGTTTACAGGATTACCATTTGCATATCTCTTGCCTTGCATAAATGGTAAAAGTGGATAAAGTAGCACATGTGGAAGTATTCTGCTAGATTTCAGTAATATTTTTATTCATAGCAGTGGTTAAGAGGAAAAAAACCAAAAGACCTCATAGCAATACTGTTCCATGTCACGTAATATAATGCATCACATTGCAGTCATTGTTACTGGTGGCCACACCTAAAGAATCCTGAAGAAATCTGTAACTTCCGAGAATGATCCGGGCTGTTTCATAGTTCTCTGTCATATTATGTGTTGTATATGTAAAAAAGAATTCAGTCTCAACCTTGGCTTGAATGCAATCCATAGCAATTTTCACTCGGCTAGAAACTTTCGTACTCTACCTCATTCCTAGAGATTTTTTCAAGACCAGCGCATGCATAATTTCAGCCTCTGTTAAAAAGTTTACAGTAGGAACCTTTTCTGGTAATGTTAAAACCAAGCTTCTGGAAAGCAGTAGTGATCATTTCATTCCACTTGATTTCTTAACATCATTGACATTGGGACTGTTAGGCTATTGTCTGTGACGGTGAGGCTTTTTCAGTTTGTTAACAGAGGATTTTGGAAACCTTTAATTTTTCTCCAAAGATAGATGATATTTTGCACCTAGTATTACCAAGGCTATCTAGCTACACGGATCAATGAACTGTTTTTTTTTTTTTAAACATCCTGCTAAATGAGTATCTATGCCAGACCATTGTCCTATAGTTACAGTCTTTCGCTCTGTCTGTGCAGCTAATAGAGAAGTGGCAGTCTTGTTTGCAGTGAGAGTGTGGCATATTTGGTATTGTGTTTTGTTTATTTGGTGTTACATTTTGTAGATGAGGCTGCATATTAAACGCTATTAATTTAAAAAGAGCAAAAAGAATTAATGACGTTGAAATATGGTTAAATAAGTTTGTAAAAAAAAAAAAAATCAGAGATGCCTAGCCACATGTATTTCAAAGATGTTGCATTGTTCTGAACTGTATGAAGGGTATTTAAAACTTGTGTGTGTTCCAGCACGTCTTGACCATCTCTTTCTCTAAATAAGTAAAAAAGGGAAAAACTAATGAAAATAGAAACTGGAGAAAAACATTTCTGAAATAACATGTTGCAATCAGAGTAGATTTGGAGAAAAAAGGAAAAAGCTGTGCAAATCATGAACATCACACTATGTTACAGGAGGCAGAGATTGTGACCAGCTGCTTGGCATAATTATGTAAGATTGGATCTATTACCTGTTTTACTGACTTGGAAATTTCAAAAGCACAGGCCAAAGACCTCAAAAGAGAATAGGTGAAGTTCACTGCAATTATGAGCTCTCTACCTTTTGTTTTGTAGGTGAATTGCAAAGGAAGATTGGCTTGAAGGTGCTTGAAATGAGGGGAAATGCTGTTGTTGGTTATTTGCAGTGTTTTGATTTGGAGGGAGAGTCTGGACTGGTTGTACGAGCCATAGGAACAGCCTGCACGTTGGACAAATTAAGTAACACATCAGCATTTTTACCTGCATGTAATTCACCATCCAAAGAAATGAAGGAGTAAGT